GCGGAAGGCTCTGGGGGAGGAGGATCAGGGCGTGGTGTCGCAGTAGTAGTCGTACCCCGTCTCCATCACATCGAAATGTGCAGAGGAGCGGTGGCGACGAGATGCCAGGGGACGATCAGTCGGCTCCAGAGTGAGGAAGAAAGGGAGGTCGGTGACCGTCTGATCGAAGAAGCGGTGAGTTTTGTCATCTCCTAGGGTGACAGAGATGAGAGTCGAAGACCATGTCGTGGGTAAGCGGGCTTCTTTCACCACACGTGGGTGAATGAAGTCGCCGTGAGAACCAGAATCCCACAACGCTGAGTACACCTTCATGGAAGTCCCGAGTCGTACTGGAATGATCGGGAGGGTGCGATCGGGATCAGAAATGATGGCGAGAAGGCGACGCAGTGCAGCGACATGGAGGATGAGCCGCTTCTGACGAGCCTGGAGTATGCTCAAGTCCGAAAGGGTGGACACAACGTCCTCGTGAGTCGCAAGTTGCTCGCTGCAACGGGCCGAGCGAATGGCTCGGCGCGTCGGTAGTCGCGGAGAGGTAGGAGGGGAGACGGTGGTCTGTGGAGGCGCAGATGGTTGTACTGCGACAGAGGGTTGAGTCCACTCTGTCGGGTCCTGCGAGACCTTAACTTCAATAGTGAGAGGGGCAAACCGCAATGGAGATGTAGGGAAGCCGACTACTGAGGAGGGCGCAGGTGTACACTGCACCGTGGCTAGGATGCGTCGCGGGGATGTGAGGCGCTGGGGGGGGACTGAGCACGACGCTGGCGGGAAAACTCAGTGTAGTGGCGGTCGAGGGCGGCGGTGTAAAGGCACCGCGAGGAGGTATGACCGTCCTGGCGGCAGAGCAGACACCCACGCCGGCCCAAAATGGCCGCGCGCTCCTCAGTGGAAAGGACACCGCGAGGAGGGACAAAGCCCTGAGGGAGGTCCTGCTGAGGGACCTCGGGGGGCGACGCGCCAGCGTGACCAGAGCGGCTGCGTGCCCGAGAGAGGGTGGAGAGGGCGAGCTGGAGGCGCTCGACTATAGGGAGGGTAGCGTTTTCCAGGTGGTAGTGGACGGCCTCGCAGAGGTTGAGGTCGTCGCTATGGTCACCCTGAGGCGACAGCGGGGAAACAACGTCGTGCTCACCATACTCGAGTGTGCTGAAGCGGCGCGAGAAGTGACGGCCCAGCTGCGCGGAACGACGGGGATGACAGTGGAAAGGGAACGACACTTGGAAGTGTTGTGAGAGGAGGAGGGAGCGTAACCAGTACGCTGAGGCTGGGAGGAGGAAGTGGGTTGAAGGAGGGCCCGCATCCGTTGATGGGCCCTGGCGGCCTCGTAAGCCTGCGGGGCCGATCTGAAGTCGTACCGCCATAACTTGGAGCGGTACTCAAGGGGAAGGCTGGCCAAGAAACGATCGATGAGGGCAGCCTCGGGGAGGAATGCCACATCGCAAATGAGGCGGGCATCCTGAAAGACCTGGATGCGGCGGTCCAGGCTGGCAGCACGACCAGAGTCGGACCAGCGTGTACTAACGACATGCTCGAAGGCGTCAGTCACATTATGTCGGGCTCCGAAGCGATCCTCGAGGAATGCCTGGAAATCCATGAAGGTCGGGGTCCGACCCTCACGAAGGGAGTGAGCGTAGAAATCCTCCCAGCCATCGACGGGACCGCCACACCGGCGCGTGGAGAGGTGAGCCACCCACATGTCGGGTGAGACGCCCATGAGCTGGAGCGTGCGGGTGGCAAACTGCAGCCACCGAGACACGTGATTCCCTGTACCGTCATACAAGGCAATGCCCGTCAAGCGGACGAGTGGTGCGCCACCGTTTTGGCCGCGAGGAAATCGAGGAGTAGAGGCCTGCGCTACGGCCGAGTAAGTTGGCGCAGGTCCTGGAGAAGGAGGCGCAGCTGACTGTACGCCCGGGCCACATGGGGGAGTGGCGGGGGAAACAGCGGCAGGCTGCGCAGGAGCTGCGGTAGAAGAGGCCGCAGCAACCGAGGGAGTATAAAGGAGGTAGGATGGGGGTGGAGGGTCTCTGAACCCTGCATGCAATTGGTCATTGCAGTTTTGTTAGCTTCCTGTCTCTCCGGATGTAGATGGTTGGGTCCTTTCCTTATTGCCTCCGTCTCGACATTTTTGATAATGTCGTAAGCGCCACTTAAGCAGACATCGTTTATACTGACCGTCATGAGTTTTTGACCTGTCACGATGACAAATCTTTTTTTTCGGGGGGTGGTGGTAAGTTCGGTTGTGGCACAAACGAGTTTCGAAAGGCCAACAAAATCACACAGGGGCAACAAACTTGCCCGCTGAGTTTCAAAGGGCAACAAAAGCATTTTTACCTGCGCGCCGAGTTGGAAAAGGGCAACAAACTGGCGCGCTGAGTTTGAAAAGGGCAACGAAAATTGCATGCCATGCTCAGGCTGGGCAGGTGTGGGGGGTAGCGGAGGAGTGGGTGGGGGAGTGCCCAAGGGGAGGGGGGGCGATATGGGGAGGGGGCAACGTTCTGTCGGGAGGGGTGGGGTTGGTGGAGGCTGAGATAGGGGGAGGGGGGGTTGATGTGAGTGGGGAGAGGGGGGGGCTGAGGGGAGGGGTTGCTGTGGCCCAGTAATGGGTGTTTGGTCCTCTATCAGTGCGTTCATGTTCTGTCCCGGCGTTGGTGTGTGGTAGCAGTTTAGTGGTCTGAGTCGCCACTGTTTTTCTTCGGCTACCCAGTTCTTCCATATGAATTTCCCGTCTTCCAGCATATCAGCCATCTTTCGATTGTCGTCAGGTGCGCGGCAAGCTTCCTGCTGGCCTTGACTATGTTGGTCCTGATCACTTCCACAATCACTTCTTTAGCCTCGGGAAGGCCAAACGTGAATTCTTTTCGTTCCGCCGAACATCTCATCCTCGAGATGACCATGAGTATGGCCAGCCGAGTAGGTTTAAACAGGTTTTGTTGAAATGTCAACCGGGCAGATGGGTACTCTGTTTGTCTTCCCAGCAGAATTAGGCTGATGTCCCAATGGAAGGGGACATCTGAAAGTTTGTACCAGAGTGCGTCCCTCCAGTGTCAGACTTGTAGAGCCATAGGGAAGGCTAGTAAACAGTGTTCCAAATCTGCTCGCCGGCGATTGGATGATGAGTGGCCACAATAGGTGCACACTGGAGATAGGACCCCTTTTCGTTCAAAGTTTGAGCGTGCTGTTATCCAGTCTGGGGTTGGGAGGCACCGATGGATGATCTGCCACTGGAGAGCCCGATGGGAGGTCGGCATAATGTGTGCATAGGAGGACGGTCACCATGGAATGTCTCCCAGTTTGGATTCTTCCAGCGGTGAATCACGTTTCCATTTACTACGGACAATTGGAGATGATGGGTGAAGCCGGTGTGCCTGCGTGTACCCTTCCTTTACAGTGTACTGCCAAATTGGAACGCGTTTGTGGTCCGGCCATTCCCATTCTTCTGGGTCAAAGGGGAGGGCACAAATTGGGCAGGCCATCTGTCTTCACCCAAATACAATGTACGGTCATTATAGATGTATTTGGGGCAACTTTGACTCCAGATACAGCAATAATGACCGTACATTGTTTTCGGGTGAAGATCGTAGTCCGGCACAGGAGCAGGTCGAAAAGGGATCCGCCGAGAATATGTGATTAATCGTAGAGCCTCTGGTGAGAAGATATCCCCGAATAAACCAACCATTATGTGTAGGAACACTCCCTCCACCCTTGGACCTACAGCCAAAAAAAAAAGTAGTCCTGCACAGGAGCAGGTCGAAAAGGGATCCACCGAGAATATGCGATTAATCGTAGAGCCTCTGGTGAGAAGATATCCACGAACAAACCTTGACCTTCCACCATTATGTGTAGGAACACTCCCTCCACCCTTGGACCTACAGCCAAAAAAAAAAAACAAAAAAAAAAAAAAACAAGGAGGTAGTACCAAGCAGGCATGTGGACCTACATGGCACCCCTGTTACACATTGCAATGTTCTGGCACCCCTATCAGATACCTGGCACATTCCATCTGCACTTTGTCCCCTCTAGCAAGGCTCCATCTGTTTCATTTCTATACAACTTGATCCAGGGGCAAATGTTATGCCTGTGATTTGGCGCTAAGGTCAAAGCCCAAAGATTTCCATGGTTGGCATAAACTGCGCTCAGTGCGCTGGACCCTCAGTTGAATGTCATGAGATAGATTGGGACAACGACGTCCGAGGCAGGAGGCATGTCTGGAGCTGGAGGAGAGGGGGGGGGGGGTGGTCGATCACTCGACTTTAAGCCCTGAACCTCCATGCACCAACCTACTCTGACAGAGTTGTAATCTTTCAGGTTGGAGTTCAATAAGCATATTTAAATTTCAGGGCTCTGAGAGGAAGTTCAAGAATCTCAGGGCACCTGCGATCTCACCCGACTTGGAGGATGTTATTGTTGTGCAATCGTTGAGAAGAAACCTGACCTCCATGCTACCGCTCTCTTATTGCGTATAACGAAGCCGGATGTACTTGGGATGTGCACAGAGGACATGGAATCAAGCTTTAGGCAATTGGAGAACCTGTTTTGAGCCTCTCCGAATATGGAGGACACCGAGTGCCGTAGATAAAATGAATCAGCGGTGGGCGGCCTCCGAAAGGGGCCTGCGACCGATAGGTGGCATGTGACTGGTGGTTCAAGAGAAACCAAGGTCACCGTGGCTTTATGGAACAAACTTACACATAGTACAACCTGTCACGCTTATCCATAATTTGAAGAATTATCAGCCCAAACGTAAAGATGTTTGTTATGTGTGTCTGTAATCATTTCTGCTGCCTTTATTTCCCGCGACCGATAGGTGGCATGTGACTGGTGGTTTAAGAGAAACCAAGGTGGCTTTATGGAACAAACTTAGACATAGTACAACCTGTCACACTTATTTATAATTTGAAGAATTACCTAAAGATGTTTGTTATGTGTGTCTATCATCATTTCTACTGCCTTTATTTCCCGTTTCATAGTCTGAAACAGCCTTCTTTTTGAAATTCCGAATGCAGATCATGAGAGGAGAGCCATATGATCGCAAGGCAGATGTCTACAGCTTTGGCATCATTCTTTGGCAGCTGATTACAAGAGCGACACCGTATGTCAGCATGAGCGGGCCTCAGATTGTGAACGAAGTTGCCCGTAAGGTGTGTCTCCATCCATCAGGGGTGTGGGTGTCAGCGTGTGTCATGGCGGAAGCATGCATGTGTGCACAGCTACCAAAGCAGCGAAACAAAGAATACCATGTTGCCCACCAAGTACAGGTCATCCCAAACTGAGTGTTTTTTTTTTTTTTTTTTTTTTTTTTTTTTTTT